TCAACGGGTTCATGAGCAATCGACCTTCAAACTTGGATTTTGGTGAAAATTTTGTGTAAATCTTCAAACACGATTTTCTCAAAAACCGTAAACGCCACTGATTTCAGCTAAATACCACCTGAAAGCCCTAATCAAGAGCTATAATCCCTGAAAATTTTGTCGCAGTACCGCTTTTGGTTACCGAGATATCAAGGTTTAAAGATTTGCAAATAAAAATTCAAAGGTAACCCTTGGAAAAAAGAGCAAAAAATTGAAAGTTTTTATTTTTGAGTTTTTCTCTATTTTGACTTCAGAAATCGATAGAGCGAGTCCAAATTAGTCAGAAACAACTCTTATATCAGTTAAATTCGAGAATTCCGATGAGCAAAAAAATCCAAAAGGAAATCTCATTTTTGGCTCTGAAAATTTTTTGAAATCTTGACACGCTCATGAACAATTGCTCAGATCTTTATTGACATTTGAGCAAATTAACTAAAATTATGTATCATTGGAAAGAGCATTAAATTCTCTTCAAAACTGTGCTAAATTGGTTCCGGTACCTCAACGGGTTCATGAGCAATCGACCTTCAAACTTGGATTTTGGTGAAAATTTTGTGTAAATCTTCAAACTCGATTTTCTCAAAAACCGTAAACGCTACTGATTTCAGCTAAATACCACCTAAAAGCCCTAATCAAGAGCTATTATAATCCCTGAAAATTTTGTCGCAGTACCGCTTTTGGTTACCGAGATATCAAGGTTTAAAGATTTGCAAATAAAAATTCAAAGGGGTAACCCTTAGAAAAAAGAGCAAAAAATTGAAAATTTTTATTTTTGAGTTTTTCTCTATTTTGACTTCAGAAATCGATAGAGCGAGTCCAAATTAGTCAGAAACAACTTTTATATCAATTTAATTTGAGAATTTCGATGAGCAAAAAAATCCAAAAGGAAATCTCATTTTTGGCTCTGGAAATTTTTTGAAATCTTGACACGCTCATGAACAATTACTCAGATCTTCGTTGATATTTGAGCAAATTAGCTACAACTATATATCATTGGAAAGAGCATTAAATTCTCTTCAAAACTGTGCCAAATTGGTTCCAGTACCTCAACGGGTTCATGAGCAATCGACCTCCAAAGTTGGATTTTAGTGAAAATTTTGTTCAAATCTTCAAACACGATTTTCTCAAAAACTGTAAACACTAGCGATTTCAGTTAAAAACCATCTGAAAATTCTTGAAATCCGCTGTGACTGTGGATAATGTTTATTCCGCATAAAACAAGTTTTGTGCTGGATGATTTTTGCGGATTTGATTTGTGTGGAATTTTACAAACCTCGTCTAGGTAAGTCACACTGTTTAATTAAATCCAACTCTATTCCTACCCTGTTTTTCTTTCTCATTGATTAGGATCGTATTTACCAGTGCTTTTGGCACTAGTTCATCGAAATTTTGATGATATCTGTGGCTGAATGCCTTAGTTCCCTTTCCATCCGTGGAATATGAGACGTTGTATCCCTGATTGGAAAGTTATGTGTCAATTATTTATTTTGGTGTAAGCCGTTTTATAATGACTTATACATGGGGTGGAAATTAAAACTTGATTCCTTTAATTTTACCAGTGGGTCTCATGGTGCCTTGTGGATTTTTGGAATACCCAACCACAGGGCACCACGTTGGGCGCCAATTAATGTTACCCTCAAAGCTGTAAAATTGTGGTAAAGACCAATAATGGTCAATAACTATTCAAACTCTATGATGTTGAACTAGCTCAGCTCACTTGAGAAACAATTTAACAGTTACCACCATTTTAGCATGAGTATAGGGTTCAGGTACATGGGTTCATGATAAAAATTATAGAGCTATATATTTTTCCTGCCTTAAGACATAAGTTAGTGCTGGGAATCGAATTTTGGTTGCGAATGAGTATAGTGGACTTGATTTGGGAAGGCTTAATAGCATTTTTGACAATTATTTTTTCAAAATTGACCCTAATAAGTTGGGACTTACCAATTTAGTTCAGCATAAGATTCAGATTACTCAAGAAGATCCTATTAAGCAGCGGTATTATCCGGTATCACCTTTTAAGCAAGAGATTATAAATTCAGAGTTAGATAAAATGATTGAACTGGGTGTCTTGTGCCTAAGAAGGATAAAACCTGGAGATTTTGTGTGGATTTTCGGAAGATCAATCTGAAAAGTGAACGAGATGCGTATCCTTTACCTTACATTTCCGATATTTTGCGTAAGCTGGGTGGTGCAAAGTTTTTATCGTCATTGAGTGCTTATTGGCAAATTGAACTGGAAGCGCGTCTTCTCGTAAATATAGAGCATTTACAGTACCCTCCTATCAATTTGTTAGGATGCCTTTTGACCTACACAATGCCCCTGCAACCTTCCACCGGTTGATTGACAATTTGTTTGATGCGGAACTTGAACGTAGCTTATAATGTGGAAGATTCAGTGTGGAAGAGGCAGTATGTTTTATCTGATGGGCCAACTTATTTTGCATTTGAATTGGCGGAAAAATTTAGTGATCCATTCAAGGTTCGTAAGAAGGATATTGTATGTATGAGCTTGAGAATGATAAGGGCTTATCAAGGACCTGAAACCTGATCCAGGTGATTAGAGATCTGAGTTGAAGCTGTATTTCTGGGTGTAATTTTCTTGCAACGAGGAAACGGTGTATAAAAAAAAAGAAAATATATGGTTGGTAAAGTGTTTAGTGGTTGGCTTTTTTGATTAATGTATACCAAGCTATGCAACCAGAAAACATATGGACTATAATTTCAGTCGATGTTCTTCACTTTTCTCAAGTCTTTTCGTTCGCAAAAACTTGAAACTCTAAGCAGTAAATAAAACACAAAACACAAAGTCGATGGTTAAATATACGGGCTGAAAACAGGGAAGAAAATATACAGAGCCCCCGAAAGTTGTATTATTAAATTTGAATCCCTTTTCGCTGCCGTTGCGGCATCAGAGCGTCGACGAAGAAGATTATTTCTTTTCGGTTCAGCCAACAATTTAATTAATTCCAAAACTTCCCAAGCCAAGACATTTAACTATGTAGAATGGGCACGCCGGAGAGAGATACACGATGGATCCTATTGATTTATAGCCCGATACAGATTATAAATTGGGCACCTATATACCAAGAAAACTTATTTGACTGATTATTGTCGCCTATGGCAAAAATAAACGTGGCCCATATGGCAACTCCGATTATGTAGATTGGCCCTCTTTTCAAAACTTCAAATTTCGGCCGTAAAATTAACAAAACAAAAAAGCCACAGCGCGCGATAAAGGCCCGGGTTTTTATAGTCGCATGTTTCTTCGGGGAATGCGCCCGGGCCGCATTTAACATGATATATCGTATATTGCCCCGCGGATTTTGCTCTTTTCTTCAAGATTACGGCCAACGGGCCGTAAATGCGCCCAGGAACAGGCTTTGAAAATTGTTTGTGTCGAATTAAAGACACTCGGATTATGAGATTATGGGATCACTATTTTTGTTTTTAGTGACACCCTGTGTATAGGATGGTATTCAGTGGCGCACCCAGAAAATATGCTTGAATTTTCCACATTGATAATGACCCTGTATGTTATAAACAAATTGTCATTCAACCGCTGGAAGGTTACAGGGGCATTGTGTAGGCCAAAAGGCATCCTTACAAATATATAAATGGCTGTACCTATTTCTTCCAAAAATCAGGTATTTTGCTGCTCAGTTTCAACCTAATCTAGGGATGGCAAACTTATTTTTGGAAACCAACAAGAGAATTCAATATTTCACTCAGGCAAAAGTGCAACCTTCTCGCATGACCGTAGAAAATTACACTTAATAACCCATAATTATTATTAACTCGGAGAGAGAGATGAAAAAAAAATAAAAATCTTTTCTATAATTAATCGTTCCGTTCACCTTTTTGAATGCGGCGTGTGTAGGTACTTTGAAATAGAACGAATTTATTGTTAAAAGGTTTTTGTATTAGATTCTTATCGGCTACCATATAAAGTAACAGCAGTGGATTTTTGTGGTATCTGTTAGTTGGGTAGCTTATAAGGTGCCCTGATGTTGTTTGTCCAAAAAAAAAGTTTGCCAATAGGGATAGAATAATGAGGAAATCAATATAATATATTTTTTAATAATTTCGTTTATTATTAATTTTGAAAGATAACATTTTACATCACACTTAGTATATCTTAACTAACGAAAAGACAGTAAATAGGTTTTTACTGGGATTTTTTTTGCTTTTTTTTTGAAAAATTTTGATATATTTTCCTTTTTGATGCAAGGTGGGTAAGAATAAACAAACAGGAACTAGAAATACAAACTCAAAAACAAAAATATATCAAAACACTCTGTATATATTCAATATAATTTTTGATAAATAAAATCATAAATTAATTAACTAGAAATTTAGTTAAATAAAACATTATCTACTCTAAATTCATGTAAATGGCACATTTACGCTATAAACTTCAGCAGCTGACAGATATAACAAAATCCATCACTGTGTCACTTTATAATAATATTATAAAAGTTGGAACATTATCCATATTGGTGTGCCCCCATCTCCCCAATCAGCAATAATAATTAAATTATTCTTGACATTTAAAGCTATATCTATATACAATTGTTTTTGTTTTTTGATCGATCCCCGTATAATGTCAAGAACTTGTATAGACACGCAATAAGTATTTACAAAATAATGTACAACTCCTCAAACTAGATATGTTCGCACAATACTATAATCAATTTTTACAAGTTTCAATTATTAGGATTGTACAATGGTTAATAGCTAAGTTATAAGAGATCAAAGATACTGTTTTTGGATTTATACATAATTGTACGAAAAGTGTTTTGCGATTTTGTACAATTTACAATAATCTTGCTGCAATTGGATATTTCGTTCTTCGAAATAATTCATCTACTTATAAATAAATTTAACTTTTATGCGTCGCCGCCAAGTACATGTAGTACTGCGCCAGGCTCAGCAAATACACCATGTTACTATTGGTACCTTTTTCGTAGTTGATTTGTCGTTCTTGCTGGCGCGCGTTGTCGGCCGCCACCTTGAGGAGTCCCTGGATATTTCTGAGGAGGGTTTCAGTCGACGAAACACCGGGATCGGGATTCACTGAGCTTGCCAGAGTGGAGTAGTTCAGTGCGGCTTGCTGGTGGTGGTCGACTCCTGGCATTGAGGGTAGAGGAAGATCGCCATCGTCCAGATCTGGAAAAGATTTGAAATATTTAAAGGCTGACAATACAAGCTTTGCAGGAGAAAGTTGGGTTGAAAAAAATGTATATCTAAACAGATGACTTGTTGGACAGATGATGTCGTCTCCTCCGGAGAATGGAGGGTGCACAACTACTAGGCACGAACCTAAGACATCAGAGTACCAAGGTGCTTTCTTGCCGTCAAATAAAATTAATACACAACCTAAAATGAGTCAAATTACAGTGGGTAAAATTGTTTTCTATTACCGGCTCTCGGGAAAGATTGTCTACATTAGGAGATAATGAAATATTGATCACCCCCTATTTTTAGACAGTGGTGGAATTGTTTTAGATTAACCAGCTTTCGTGGAAGATTTTCTACAAGAGCACTGATCACTCTGTATCTTTATACAGTGGCACTGGGCTATTTTCCTATGAAATTTTAGAAGGTTCAATCTGAAAGCTTCCTTGATATATAAAAAAATATTTGGTTTGTCCAGGTTTCCCAAATTTCCAGAAAAAAAAATCAAAAATTAGACCGTTGAGTCTGAGGCAGTAATATCACTCACTGTGTTTATCGGATTGTAAAAATCATAGCTCCATTATCCTGAGCTATTTTTCCATAAAATTTCAATATGTGGAAGCTGAAAGCTTCTTCAATAAACGAAGAAATAATTGATTCCTCCAGGTTTCCCAGATTTCCAGAAAAAAAATCAAAAATTAGACCATTGAGTCTAAGGCAGTAATATCACTTAGTGTGTTTATCGGATTGTAAAAATCATATCTCCGTTATCCTGAGCTATTTTTCCATAAAATTGCAATATGTTGACGCTGAGAGCTTCCTTAATAAATAAAAAAATATTTGGTTTCTCTAGGTTTCCCAGATTTCCAGACAAAAAATCAAAAATTAGACCATTGACTCTAAGGCAGAAATATCACTCAGTGTGTTTATCGGAGTGTAGAAATCATAGCTCCGTTATCCTAGGCTATTTTTCTATGAAATCTCAGCATGTTGAAGCTAAAAGCTTCCTTGATATACAAAAAAATATTTGGTTCCTCCAGGTCTCCCAGATATCCAGAAAAAAAATCGAAAATTAGACCATTGAGTCTAAGGCAGTAATATCACTCAGTGTGTTTATCGGAGTGTAGAAATCATAGCTCCGTTATCTTAGGCTATTTTCCTATGAAATTTTAGAAGGTTGAAGCTAAAAGCTTCCTTGATATACAAAAAAATATTTGGTTCCTCCAGGTTTCCCAGATTTCTAGAAAAAAATCAAAAATTAGACCATTGATTCTGAGGCAGTAATATCACTCAGTATGTTTATCGGATTGTAAAAATCATAGCTCCGTTATCCTGGGTTATTTTTCTATGAAATTTTAGAACGTTGAAGCTGAAAGCTTCCTTAATGAATAAAAAAATATTTGGTTTCTCTAGGTTTCCCAGATTTCCAGACAAAAAATCAAAAATTAGACCATTGAGTCTAAGGCAGTAATATCACTTAGTGTGTTTATCGGATTGTAAAAATCATATCTCCGTTATCCTGAGCTATTTTTCCATAAAATTGCAATATGTTGACGCTGAGAGCTTCCTTAATGAATAAAAAAATATTTGGTTTCTCTAGGTTTCCCAGATTTCCAGACAAAAAATCAAAAATTAGACCATTGACTCTAAGGCAGAAATATCACTCAGTGTGTTTATCGGAGTTTAGAAATCATAGCTCCGTTATCCTAGGCTATTTTTCTATGAAATCTCAGCATGTTGAAGCTGAAAGCTTCCTTGATATATAAAAAAATATTTGGTTCCTCCAGGTCTCCCAGATATCCAGAAAAAAATTCGAAAAATAGACCATTGAGTCTAAGGCAGTAATATCACTCAGTGTGTTTATCGGAGTGTAGAAATCATAGCTCCGTTATCTTAGGCTATTTTCCTATGAAATTTTAGAAGGTTGAAGCTGAAAGCTTCCTTGATCTATAAAAAAATATTTGGTTCCTCCAGGTTTCCCAGATTTCCAGAAAAAAAATCAAAAATTAGACCATTGAGTCTAAGGCAGTAATATCACTCAGTGTGTTTATCGGATTGTAAAAATCATAGCTCCGTTATCCTGAGCTATTTTTCTATGAAATCTCAGCATGTCGAAGCTGAAAGCTTCCTTGATATATAAAAAAATATTTGGTTTCTCCAGGTTTCTTAGGTTTCCAGAAAAAAATCAAAAATTAGATCATTGAGTCTAAGGCAGTAATATCACTTAAGTGTGTTTATCGGATTGTAAAAATCATATAGCTCCGTTATCCTGGGCTATTTTTCTATGGAATTTCAGAACGTTGAAGCCGAAAGCTTCCTTGATATACAAAAAAATATTTGGTTCCTCCAGGTTTCCCAGATTTCCAGTCAAATTATAGTGGGTGAAATTGTTCTCGATTACCAACTCTCGTCAAAGATTTTCTACATTAAGAGCCAAGGATAATGAGACTAGTGGTGGAATTGTTTTAGATTAACCAGCTTTCGTGGAAGATTTCCTACAAGAGCACTGATCACTCTGTATCTTTATACAGTGGCCTATTTTTGCTGAGTCAAATTATAGTAGGTGAAATTGTTCTCTATTACCAGCTCTCGTCAAAGATTTTCTACATTAAGAACCGAGGATAATGAAATATTGATCACCACATGTCTCTACACAGTGGTGGAATTGTTTTCGTTTAACCAGCTTTCGTGGAAGATTTCCTACAAAAGCATTGATCACTCTGTATCTTTATACAGTGGCTCATTTTTGTTGAGTCTAATTACAGTGGGTAAAATTGTTCTCTATTACCGGCTCTCGGGAAAGATTTTCTACATTGAGATCCGAAGATAATAAACTATTGATCACCCCGTATTTTTACACAGTGATGGCATTATTTTCGATTATCCAGCTTTCGTGGAAGATTTCCTACGAGAGCCGGGAATAATAATATATTGACCTTCTAGTTTTTCCCAGGTAGGGCGGAGACTATAAAATTGTCAAATAACAATTTATAAAAATCGGTACATAGCCTGAAAAGAGTACCATTCAACCATGAAACCGTATCATCACGCGAATCTAACCCATTAATAGAAATATATAAATCAATTTCCATGCCCCAGGTACGTAGATGATGGCAGCACCAGAGTGCAGTACTCTTTCTATGCGGCGAAGGTCGTGAATTATGCTAATAGAGAGGCGCTTAATTTGTTTGTTTTCAGTCATGGGAAAAATAAGAAGTTTAATGTTCTACCTAGAGGATGATGGATTCTATGCATTTTGTCATGGAGTTGTTATACAATAATTATCTTGTATATGTTACGAGTAAAGCGCGATTCATACTAATGCATGAATTATTCTGACATTGAAAGCAATAATGGTCTTATTCACATTACGCCTTCACGGTAAGGCATATAACTCAACCAAATCTTGACATAAGTAAAACCAATAAAATACTCAAAGATTTCTCGAAGAGAATATATCTGACGTGTGGTATAGTATGAATCGTGCTTTAACTTTAGCAACTCTATTGCTCCTTTTAAACAACCGTTATATTACTTACTCCCAATATGCAATTTTCTTGCAATAATTAAAGGAAATGTCAATAATAAAAGCAAAAAACCCGGTGTAAGCCATATTTTGCGGCTCTAATAACAACCCAAAGGGTTATAACTCAATCAATCTCCGGACAATAATTACCCCAGGCACGTTTAAAGATAATTATAACTGTACCTTGATCCTTTTCGTCTTCGTCTTCAGGTTCCGAAATATTGTCGTCGTCGTCTTCGACTGCAGACCTCGGCGATCTGGGCGACGGTGGTACGTCAGGACCGTCAGCTTCGCTACCCGAATGGTCGTTGTCACCCAGCGAACCTGCACTACCGCCTCCGCTTTTGGACAAGTTTAAGACTGGACTGTGATCGGTCGTTGGTGAACCTGGAAAAGGATAGGTAAGTACTGTTATTGCTTGGAGCAAAAATCACGGTAGTTTAAAAGCTCTAATAAATCAGGAAATCGCCTCCGATTCAGATAGGATAAAAATCCGCGTATTTAATTGTGACCCATACAGCCGATTGAAATTTATGGGGGTTCGTGTTGCGTCGCGCGGACTGTACAAAATCCCTCTATACTTTTACGGCCATTAATTAAATCGCCTGATGCAAGTAGGCCCCAGTATAGGCAAGTTTTTTTTTCGTTTATTTTTCGTATTGATCGGCAATATTATGAAGGCGTCCCTCGGTGCCGAAGGTACGTGAAATATTGCAGCTTAAATTGCAATCGCGCGTTCGTAGCTGCGCTTCATCACAATCTTGTCAAAATATTATTTTTCGACTTACCGTTCCTGGGACTGCTGAGATCTCTGGGTTTTTGTTCCATAGGTAATGGTCGGTCTGGATCGCCGCGTTCTTCTCGTAACCTGCAACAAAACGCAAAGTCTAAAAATACGCACTTAATTTAAATTAAAAAAAAAAAACACACGTTGACATGGTGTTTTTCTAAGAAGGGAAGCGGAACAACATCATGGGGTGGCATCTTTCCTTAATAAAGGTGGATACACAGTAGGCATCATCAGCGTTATTATTAAAATGAGGCACATTAATCATTTTGGGTGACAGGCCCTGTGTTGGCTGTGTCACCATCTAGTAATAATAATAAAGACGTTGAATTAGATTAAAATTTTTTCAATTAAACATAAATTGTTTGCCTTGGGAAATTATTATTTGGGGAGATGTCCATCCATTCGTAATGTTAAGTCAACATGTAAGCCGGAGGTCCATTTCCTTGCGGAAAACCCAGTTACCACCTTTTTGCGGCCACTGTTTACCCAACTTATCCCTTCGAACCATCGTCATATTTGCACAAAAAGAGAAGAAGCGAGAGGGTCCAGGGCTGCATTATTTAGTTTGATGTTTTCCGCGGTATTTAACTTGAAATATTTATTTGTATGGTTTGTTGTGATTAGGCTGATCTCGTCAGGTGCAAAACTTTAGAATTAATGACACGAATATATAATATAGTAAAAGCTAAAAGATATACAACAAAACTATTAATATTCATCGTTTCAGGGGGGCGGCATCTGTAGTCGAGAGGCGAGCAAAGAAATATCCGCCGTGTCTAGCTAATTGGCCGGGTCCATGTCTCGACGCGAATTAATTAATTTTCGGGAGGCCTTAATTCGAATTTGAGCGGCGTTTTGTTAATTCCTTCGTTTCCTGTTAATCGTCCAGGACAGTTCCGGATTTCGGCCCCGCCACGCTTTATTCACTCTGAATTTAATTGTAAATAAATCTGGACCTGATGCGGTTTCTGTTTTTGGGGATCATCTGGGAACGCCAACAAGGGGAATTCTGAAGGAAAGAACTGATGGTCTATAGGCCTAGTGAAAAAAGAGCTTCTTGTTCTTGCTAATCCTTTTTGTATTTTATTTTGTAATGCAATATTAATTGCACGCTGAAAAATAGAAGGAGCATTGGCAAGGCCAAAAGGCATACGTAAATATTTGTTACGGGATGATTTTTCCTGGGTTAAAATTAAAGGAAATAAGCGTATTCGCCTCAATGAATAGCATACCTTCGTCAAGCCACTGTTGTCTTTTCAATAGTTGTGGCCAAACTTTTCATTTTTCCCAAAATCATTAAGTTAGAGGTTTATTAATGGAATTGATTTTCTGTTAGTAGGGTTGAAATAAATAGACAATTAATTTATTAATAAAACAAAATCACAATATTAACACTAGAACAGCTGATGTCTGATCCGATTAGATTGATTAGATTGACAGAGCTCCAAATAGGGTCAATGACCGGTACTAACTTAACTTGAATAAGTCCCATGCCCCGACTACCATCAAAATTCCCCAGTACCTTCCACCTTGGAGTTTTGACAGAACCTTTTTAAAGGACATTGCAGGGACCAGCAGAGGTCATTCAGGTCGAGGACTTTCCACGATTAAGTGTTCGGGAAAACTCCTCAGGCACATTTTGCCGATTTTCTGAGTTGTCTAGTTTTCGCTCATCGATCTAGGGTGGCTAATCCGTTATTTTAGCATCCAATCGCCTTGTGCGGATTTTTTTTGTGAGTCGAAAAAGAGCAACGTGACCAATTGTTTGTTCCTAAAGGCCAAAGTAATTTTGGTAAGTGGTTTTTCTTATTAATCTTCTCTGTGTTTCTCTATTTCCTATGTAAAAGCATAGTTTTCTGTTAATTATAGGGTTAAATTCCGAATATCGGACATACCTACCTATTGCTCCCCGCCTTGTCTCATAACGTCCATTTGTTTCATGCCTTTAATCTTCACCTTTAGAAGTTACGCTTTAATCTTTACCTTTATTCTTCACGCTTTAGTCCTTACTTAGAGTTATAAGTTATACGTCAAGCTTACTGTATACCTCCTATCTTCAGCCTCCTCTAGACAATTGGAAGCTTTAGTGACTCCTAGTCACTGAACTTCAGTGCCCAGGGCCAGGTTGCGTCTTGTTGCGGCCCTGATCCAGTCCCAGGCCATTGGAGACACTGGAAGATATTGATCCCACCTGTCAGGTTCTCCCCAAGAGTTTAGGGACTACTCAGGTTTGATAAGTGTGTTGTATTTTCGTAATATCAAACCTTACCAACCCATTATTGGAGTAAATCACCACAACAACGCAGTTCTACAACAATATTAAATTATCCTTCAGATTATGTGTTGTTATTTCAATTTCTAATTAATTCTCTATATTGCCTTTTTTTTTGTTTATGAAACTTGCCATTCAGGTTATGTATTGTCAAGTACTTCAATTTTATTAGGTATTTAGGTACCTATACTACCTATATTGTTACATAATTTTAAAGCCCTTCAGGTTACGTATTGTTACTTCAACTTTGATTAATGCTGCACTGAATACAGGTAAATACTTGTACACTGGGGTTAAATGGCCATTTACGAAGGTACTGCATTTAGTAAGCTTGTCTATTGATCATTTATATTTCAGGTATTATTGCTGTTGTACGGTACTATTTACTTTAAGGGACTCGAGTTATTTTATTGTAATTACAATTTTTAGAGTATATAAGGTTAGGTACTCCTAGTTTCTAGACGATTTCTTTTCTTCTCCGAACCTGCTCTAGAGTCAACCTGTTCTGGGTTACATTTCTACTGGTTCTAATTAAAACCCGTATCTGATTGTAGCAAAGCGTTTCACTTTTGTCCTTCCTTCTTGTTTACATTTATATTTCAGGTTGTGCTGTAGAAGTTTCCTGCTTTTGCTATATCGGTTGATTTCGTGTACTGCAGGGAAAAGCAGGTGCCGCTCTATATTTAGTTATTTAATTAACCCACACCCCTCTCCGCATTGGAAGCTAGTCGGCAACCCTTTAGACGAAGTCACGTTTCTAGATTTCAGCCACCAACCAACTCTCTCTTCTCTTTTTCTTTTTTTTTTTCTTTTTAGTTACCCATTAACTTTCCCACCTCCTCAAAATCTTATTATTGGCTTCTCCGTTACGTTTTGCGGGTAACATATTCATACTGGCCATCAAGTGTGATAAATACCAATTTTTCCACAGATTCAAAATTAACATTTATCTGGTGAAAACCAGCAGCCATATCAAGCATAGTGGAATATTTACTTTTGCCTAAATTATCAATTTGATCATCAATACGAGGCAGAGGAAAACCATCCTTTGTCCTGCCATGCATGGTAACTTAAATATGTCCTCTAGGGCCAATGTAATCGTGTGTCTCCTCTATTTAATAAAATTTTCTCATTGGTCAGTTCATCGTTGATCTTCACTTGCATTGTGGCATTTTCATATGCATTACTTATTATTCTGGTGTATCTAGAATAGATCCTGCATTATGCATAGCATCTAAAGTTGTCAACAAAATCAAATGCCTTGTGATAATCGACAAGGCAGATTCGTATACTCTGTATATCATCAATCGTGCTGAACCCTTTCCGAAAACCTGCTGGTAGAAATCTAACTTAATATTTGTAAGTATTTTCGTTAGCAGCTTATATAAGATAGATAGCAAACTAATAGGGCGGTAGTTATCCAGGTTAGTGGCATCTCCCTTCTTGAATATAATAGTAACTTCGGCGTTTTGCCACTCAGACTTCGGGTATTTTTTCTTCTTCTAAACATTCATTTAGTATAATGAGAATAGCTTTTCCCAATGATGTCTTTCCTTTGATTTTAAGCTTTTCCCTTCTTCAGCTGTCTTATTGCAGTTCTCAACTCACTTGTATATATTTCAGGTATTTCTTCTTTTGTCGGCTATTGGTGAAGTCTTGGTAGAAAGTCTGCATTACTTTAGCGATCTCGTTGTCAATTTTCATATAGGGTGACACGATTACACTGTCCCTAGAAGACATATTCAAAAACTTACCATGGCAGGACGAAGGATCGTTTTCCTCTGCCCCAAATTGATTGTTAACGCAAAAATAAATATTTCACTATGCTTGATATGGCTGCTGGTTTTCACCAGATAAAAGTTAATTCAGAATCTGTGGAAAAATTGGTATTTATCACACCCGATGACCAGTATGAATATTTACGTATGCCTTTTGGCCTTGCCAATGCTCCTTCAATTTTTCAGCGTGCTGTTGACGGCACGGTAACATAATGACGAATAGTATGAATCACGCTTTAGACATGCATATAAAAAAAAATTATAATAAAGCCAATAACTCCTAATGTTTCCCAACAATGTAGCAAAAGCTTCGATGCCACGTCACGACAATCTAATATATCCAAATTAGTATTAAAGATGATGCAATGGGGGAAGAGAGAAAAAGAGGTACACGAGGCGAGCCCCGTTTTACGAAATTGCCTTTTAAATCCGCATTTAAATAATAAAATGAGAAAAAAAGACAAATTTCTTCCGCCTCTCCGAGGACTGCTTTACAAGTCATCAGGAGTTGTCGCCGAAGCCCCGATTTTTAAGAAGTCCCGCCGACGACGACGACATTAAAAAGCCAAGAAATGACACGCGGAGGCGGCAGATGACAAATGATCTGGGGCCTCGTACACGAGCGTACAAAACCTTTTGTCTCCCACCAAAAAATCCGTAAAAAGAAGACTTTGCTCCTGCACTGGCTGGAATTGGGGGAGGGTATCCGCGGGGGTCGAGATTTGAATAAAAAATAACATTCGCGAAAGTTAATAATGGAAACGTGACGCGAAATCTGATTTCACGCTCGGGCTTTTTATTTTTAAAGGTGCGCGATTAGTTTTTTGACAACCCAAATTGGGTTTTATAGCTTCGCTTTTGCTCTTGCTTTTCTCCAAAAACATATTTTCATTAATAATTATTTAAAATTTCGTCCAGTCAGCAAGCAGTTCTCCCCCTCATCAGCATAAGCAAATCTCCAGAACAATCCAAGAATGCAATATTAAGATTAATTAACCAGACTGAGAAGGGGGGTTTCTCTTATCGCC